CATACATGTGTGTATATATAGACATGTATCATCTGCAGCACAACGCAATGTAATAAAAATACAGCATAAACACAATCAGACTTGAATATCATGTAATACCATAAGGTCTGATACATTTAGATGTGTATATCACACAGACACCCGTAAACGCGCATGCACACGCACGGACCAACTCGTGATATTGTTCAGTCTATTTCATATCATAGTAGAATGTATTATATTATGCTATATGTTTACTATGATGTGTGTGCATGCATATATGTACATATATCATGTCTTTATTTATTTGTTTGTTTGTTTCATGAGTTTTCTATGAACAGCATGTACGCACAGCCACATTCGGCAACGTTAATACTGAGTGCTTCTTGGCTGATTATGATGTTCACCCGGAAGTGCTCTCGTATTGTTGTTGGGTAGGGTTCTGTCCGAGTCGTGTTCGTTTGAAGATCCTACAGGACGTGTTTGAGCTATCGACGCAAGCTTATGCAACGTCGCCCCATCGGCGGTGCACTCCTCGAGTTCTCTTGGACGGAGCACGATCTGGACAACCTATCTTCAGCAGCGACGGTCTGCACATCATAGCTATCATCGCTGCTGTCACAGATCCGACAAGGTGAGAGGTGGACGAATGACACTAACGACGAATACAGTCAGAAACTGCTGTGCACAAGAGAAATGTTCAATCAGCTGACCTTCCCTCACATTTCTTTCTTTACCCCAAACCCTAAACCCCAAGACCAGCTTAATGCTGGGCCTGCGAATCCGGAGATGTGTCGTTCATCCCATGGCCCGTTCCAGGAGAACCAGGCGCTGCGCGCAAGCGGGGGTCTCAGAGCACCTCCTCGGGTTTTCGAGTTTAGTCGTGCTCGGGATTCTAGGGTTTACGGCTTCAGGGTTTTAGGGCTTCTATGATATAGATACCTTTATAGTAGCCCTGATAGTATTCCTTACAGTGACCCTGATAGTGTTCCTTAGAGTGACTACAGCTCTTCGGGCTTCAGGGCTTTAGCCCGGTGCGCTGCTCGGAGATCTTGGGCCTCCTTCTTCGTAACAGTGAGCCTCGGTTCGGTATTTCTCTGTTTAGGGTTTAGGGTTTGGGGCTTAGGGTTTAGGGTTTGCTACGTTTGGGGTCTACGGCTTAGGTTAGGGCTCACTACCCACAGGCCGACGGCCCCAAAATCCATTTAGTCATTTATGCTTCCGTGTGTCAGCGTGCAGATGCTGGCAAAGCCGTACGGCCCAGGGACATGCGGCCTGAAACCTGTACATACACAACTTGCAAGTTATGCCACGAATACTACATGGCGAAGGTGCAGTAGCCATGTAAAACTCCGGAGGTTCTTTGCGCTTCAGCTCTGTTGCTCTCAGCGGCCTTTAGCACATCGTTTCTTCTCTACGTTGCTCCTCAACGCAGGTGTGGAAGCCGCCTACATGGTGCCCAATCCGGTGTCGCTTGCCTGCCACATGAGTTGGTTCAACTTGTAAATTCAGAGGTTCGGATTCCCAAAGCCGTGGCACTTGTTTACAGGTCCAGTGCTTCATTGGGCGACACAGGCTTGAGGCAGGGGCGCCGCTTTACTTTCCTTGAAGAGAGTCAAATGTGCCCATTACCCTACAAACCCCCAATTTCTTAAACAGCTTCAACCCTAGTTAAGAGTCGGCTCAGGCCCATCAGACAGCACTCCCCGAAATTGACTGCAAAAAGACTATACCCTCAGCTGAGGCAAAGTCCTAAAGGCTACGAGGCTATCCCTCCTGCCTACCTTGCCTGGACGCCTGCAACCTCAGGAACCCTGCAATTCCAATGCCCAATCCGATGATGCTTCCCACTCCAGCAGCTTGGATGGAATCAGAATGTGCGGGTACCGATGCCCAGGCCTTGATCAACTTTAAGAGGGACTGCTTAGCCGCTTTGTGTTCCTTGACTCCCGGTTCGAGTTGGCATCAGCGGCTGGCAGCGCGAAGTCTGCGAAATCCGACATCGAATTCAGCATCGCTGGAGTTTTACATGTTGATGTTGCAAGGGTGGCATGGGAAAGTTTACCGGGTGCCCCCCGCCATGGGTGAATTGACCTAAAGTTGTTTAGTTAGCCTAAACCCCAGAACCTAAAACTAAACCTTAAGCCCGGGATCTGCGCATCGAGGGCTGCCATGCTTTTTCTGTCGGAGTTGTGCTGGTGGGTATGGCTGGTAGCCTACGAGACAGTCCGTCTGAAAGGAATGCTCACTTGTCCGCCTTTGGAGTACGGCTTGTCAAGAACAAAGTCTTCATCGCGTTCAAAGCACAGTGCCACTGTCCAGGGTTTAGGGTTTAGGACTGCGAGCTGGATGGTTTCTCAGCTTGCTAGGTCCCACGTCGCAAGACAACTGCAGAGACAGATGCCAGAGCTGTCCGAAACTGCAGACCTCCGCCAGAGTTCGTTTGCTACACCTCTAGCACAACGCTGGTTTGAAGATTCCTTGCGCCGCCATCCCTCAAAGTATTTCCTGCAAAAAGTCGTGACATCGGAAGAAGGAAATTGCGGCATCAAGGACGCAGACCTACGGGTGCACATGCTCAGAGAGCCCAATACCTCCTAAGTCAGGAACATGCCATTAAATTACAAGGGGGCTTCATGTTATGGTTTAAGCTCGATTCCTTAATTAAGCTATTGGGTTCTCTGGGTGCTCCAGCCAGTGAATGAGGTGCAACGTGAGACAACGCGTGGGGTTGATGTGAGCGGGGAGAAGATCGAGAAGTTGAATGCTGCACATGGCTCGTTAGAACACGCGAGCCTCATACGGACGTACAAGAACAGATCGCGACCGTAGATGTAGAATCTGCGGGCCGCCGCTCCACGTGAGAGAGGTTTCGACCCAGGACGAAGGACGTGGCAGCACCTGTAGCGCGACAGGGCAAGACCCGCAAGGAGCAAGAAGAAATCGATCATCATGTTGGCATGGCTTGGACAGAGTGCGAGCAGGTTATGTTGATTTTGGCTTCGGCCCCATGGAAGAAGCAGTTTCAAGCACATGTTCAGGTGGGTAGTTACCGTTATAGGAGCCTTATAGAAGGTCTATATACCTTCTGGAAGCCTTATAGAAGCCCCATTTGCCCTAAACTCCCCACCTTTAGTTTTCCTTTAAAAGAAGTTGCTAGCTTGGTTAGGCTGCACAGCGGCAGCTGCGAGTCGAATTAGTTTGGTATCCTGGTCTTCAAAACTTGCTTACAGGTGGGATCATGTCGAGACTCCGAAACAGTCGAAGAAACCAGCACAAGAAGGGTTCCCGAGGATCTTGCTTAAGGGGCTCCCGGCGATTTAGGGATTTTTGGCGCTTTCTAGCTCAGACATGAGGCCCTAAAACCTAAACCCTATACCCTAAATCCAAAACCCTAAACCCAAAACCCTAAACCCAAAGCCCTAAACCCAAAACCCTAAACCCAAAACCCTAAGCCCTAAACCCAAAACCCAAAACCCTAAACCGAGGTTCTCATGCCAGTGGAGACAGCTGGCAGCGCGCGGCACCCAGTCAACGAAATCGCCTGGCCCCAGGACGCAGCGAGGTTTTACATTCAGGGCTTTAGGGTTTAGGGATTTAGGGTTTAGGGATTTAGGGTTTAGGGATTTGGGGATTTGGGGATTTAGGGTTTAGGGATTTAGGGTTTAGCGTTTAGGGATTTAGGATTTAGGGTTTAGGGTTTAGGGTTTAGGGTAGATGACATGTAAGACAAAGACGACCTCGCACAGCTAATGCTCGCAGAGCATAGTGCTCCTCTCTTGTTCAGAACCACAAGCTCATGTCATAATATAATATACTATAGTATAGTATAATATACAATAATATAACATACCATAACATAATATAGTATAGTCTAGTATAGTATAATTTTGCTACTGCGCTTGAGGCTCCCGTCCGGAGACTGGTTCGGGTTGTGTTCCTGCTGTGGGTTTAGGGTTTTGGTTTTAGGGTTTATTGTTTAGGGTTTAGGGGGTTTGCAGTTTAGGGTTTAGGGTTTAGGGGGTTTACAGTTTAGGGTTCAGGGTTTTGGGTTTAGGGTTTAGGGTTTATGCTGTGTAGCTGAGGCATGCAGCATCGATGCTGTCTTCCCAAGGGCTGTTCTCAACCTACAAACTCGTGGCCCCTAATTCGACGAACTTTATGCTAAGAGTCCAGAATCGGCTCTTTGTCAGGGCCAAGTATGCTCGGAAGCTCCCAGATCCTGAACCCTAAACCAAGATCCCCATACCCTAAACCCCATAAACCCCAGCCGTCGGAAACCGTGACCGAGCACCGGCCAAGGGCGGCTGCTCTGGCATTGGAGCCACGATGCCGCTCTCGGGTTGCATGTCAGTGCCGGGGATTCAGGCTAACAAGGGTCTTGAGGTTTAGCTGTGTTTAGGGTTTAGGAGATAGAGTTTGGGGTTTAGGGTGTTCAATGTGTGTTGAAACGCTGGGAATCGTCAGCACTGTCCGGTTTCGAAGAACAGTTGAAGCAGCTTGCGTGGTTCTGACAGGGTTGCCACCCCAGCGCCACAACCTCAAGTCACACAGACCTTAAACTTTCGATCCTAAAGCTTATATGTGAGTAAAACATATCTGCATGTGGCTTGACCTGAAGTGCCGCAAGGGTGATGAAGGACAGCTCATGGCATAGAAAGCTGGAATGAAGTAGTACCAGCTATCCTTAGGCCTCCTTTAGAAATAACAGCACACTTTTGCAAAAACCCAACATCCTTTTCTAGTTATTAAGGCCACCTCTACCAACTTGACGCAGACACGCTTGGACTGATTGTTTTCATTTTTAAGCATGGCGAGGTTTGAAGAGTCTTCACACGCGAAGCTCCCAAAACCCCCCAGAACCCTTCACAGTCCCGGAGCCCCGAACCCCAAAAACCTAAGCTCCTTACCGCTCTCCGATAAGACCACCCTAAAGCCTAAACCCTAAGCCCTAAACCCTAAGCCCTAAACCCTAAGCCCCTAAACCCTAAGCCCCTACACCCTACGCCCCAAACCCTTAGGTCATCTTCGCCTTGGACCGCACCCGGTGGCTTGCAGGCCCCGTGGGCGCCCGTTGTTGGCCTTTTTCTTGGGGGGCCGAACTATTTTGGGGGGCTCCTTGCTATGATTCTCATGTAAACCTTAAACCCTAAATCCCAATATAGTGTACCCCCCAAAACCCATATTCTCATTATTAAGGCCCCTACATTAGGGTTTCTGGGGTGGAGCTTTCGGGATTCGGGGGTTTCGAAGTCTATGCGAGTCAGCAGACACTCCGAGAGGGAGCGATGCCTTCGATCCCGTAGCCGGGGTTAGGGTTTAGTGTGTAGTTGGGGTTTCAAAAAAAATTGAGGGCTTGGGTTTTGGGGTTTTGGGTTCAGGGTTTAGTGTTTAGCTAGGGTTTAAGGTTTCCTTAGGTTCGTTGGGGTTTAAGGTTTCGCTAGGTTAGTTAGGGCATAGGGTTTCGTTACGTTAGTTAGGGTTTAAAGTTTCGTTAGGATGTGCTGTTCGTTACGAGTTTACGAATTTGCGCGCCTTAGCACAGCCACGAGACCGGCCACCTTCACGTTTTTTTCCAGACGTCCTGAGGGCACAGCAAAGCTACTGGACATTCTATATGCTCCATTTCTGGGCCAAAACTCGCGAGCGTTGTTCAGGACCTAACAACGCATGAAGTGTAAGTTTCGCATTTAGGATTCATGTTTCGAGGGTCGGGGGTTTTGGCGATCTAGGTTTCACACGGTCAGTGGTTCAGAGTTTAGTGACGGAATCTTGTTTTGTGGGGCTCCTCGGTTTCAGAGGTTTGGGTTTGGGGCTCAGGGTTTGGGGTTTGGGGTTGGGGTTTCTGCAGCGGCGGCTATTGCTTCGCATGAAAGCCCTGCGGCGAAGGCGGGAAATCCGCCAGGGGCCGCGTGACATGCATAGAAAGGAGCTTACACTAAATGCGAAGAGCAGTTCTAAGGAATTTCCCAACAGCGCGGGGGTCGGATTAGTTAGTGATAATATCTACCGCAAGGCCAAACCCTAAACCCTAAGCCCTAAACCCTAAACACTAAACCCTAAACCCTAAACCCTAAACCATTCCACTTACTGTCTCAGATTCCTGCGAAAAACAGGACTTGGATCTTCCACTTAACGGAGCTGCCGCCGAACTTCCAGGCATGAGTATTGTGGGTTTGGGGTTTAGGGTTTAGGGGCATGAGTGGCATGAGTATTGCGGGTTTAGGGTTTAGGGTTTAGGGGCATGAGTGGCATGAGTATTGTGGGTGATACAGGGGTAAGAACAATCGGCACCAGCGTTCTTACATGGTCCGTACAGCATTATTATTATATACATATGAAAAGAATCCTTTTTACCTGTTACCGGGCGTCCTTGTCACGAAACCCTCCACAGACGGCAGTTCTATCATAAAGAACCTAACGGGACCCAACTTTAGGAAGGCAGCTTTTAGGGTTTAGGGTTTAGGGTTCAGCAGTTTTTTGGAAACTGTCGCCAGGAAGCCTTTGTTCAAGCTTAGGGTTCGTGCCGGAGCCCAGCTAGTAGCCAAGCCTGCCTTGTACGGAGTTGGATCACGAACCTTTTGGGAGTTTGCGAACCATAGCCTGCACTTGAGATTGAGTTTTTGTGCAACTGTGCAAATCCTGGTATTCTAAATTAGCATGCTGCAGTTGTACGAGATGTGAGAAGGTTGGCAGTGATAGAAAACAGGTACATGTGATGCAATCCCTTCGAGAGCCTGCTGCTTCAACGGGCCCCGTGCCTTCTGCTGGCAGTAGAGTAGGTTGACCAATATCGAACATTGCATTATTTAATGTCTGGCTTATAGTACAATCAAAGCACGGCATAATGCAACATGATATGATATAATACGATATAGTATAGTGATACACGGTTCATGCTCTACTGTTTTTCGGACATGGCTACAAGCTGCGATTTTTGCAGGGCGGGAGCCAAAGATCGCGCCCATGTCGAAGAACCCACCTGGCGTTGGCATCAAGCGACACTCAGCCGCACGGTTTAGGGTTTTGGGTTTAGGGTTGTTAGAAGGTTCCTGCGTGCCTGCAAGCCAGCCATGCAAGTGTTAGTTGTCGCTTTGTAGGGCTGGTTGCTCTTTTTGGGGATTCAGGCTTATTTTCCAAAGTATCAAGGTTTGGAATGCCGGTGCATGTTAATAATCTGTACCTGCATGACACAACGTCAAGGCCGTACAGGGGCGAAAGAAGAAATCTGAGCTGTGTTCAGTCGCGGAGTTTTGGCCAGGAAACAGTGAGAGTGTCATGGTTTTCGGCTTCCTCTGAGATGTTGAAGCTCCCTCAGATGATGACACGCCCAGAGTCCTGTAACTTGAATGGCCCCAACGTGGAGCCATAAATAAACCCTGATCCCGAGTTCTGCGAGCTTATCCTGATCCTGCTGGTATCTGCATAGCAGATATGCCGTCGAGAATGGTCTATTTCTGACGAGTTCTCAACACCTCCTCAATCCAACTAAACCCTAAACCCTAAACCGCAACCCCTCGCAAGCCTTGTGGCAGGAGTTGGGAAAGTCGAGCCGAAAGAGGCGAGGAACATGTTTCTCCAGTGTGACCAGGTCTTTCTCTCTCTCGTTTCGATATTCATAAAAGTAGGTGATAGAGGCTTCAAACCGGTGCGAAAGCAAGATCAGCAAGGACCACGTTTGGCTTCTTCAGTGGTCTGGACCCTTATGAGGAAACTTGTAAATTGTCAGGGCAGGTATTCCGCCATGGCATGTGCGGCAGGACACTTCAAGACTTCAAAGGTCAATCAGACTTCCTCGGGGTGAGATGCGGATCGCTGCTTTGCCAAGCAAACGTTTGTCTGGCACTTGTCCCAACAAGACTACTGAAGTGAACAGTTGGACAGGGGAGGAGACACTTGCAAACTTCCCGGTTCGACAGAATGATTCTTCCAACGCCGAGGGAAATGAGGCCATTTAGGGCAGAACGATCCCTGCTGACTTCGGGGCCAATTTAATCCGCCCCAAAAGCCCATTCGAAATCACTTGCTCACACCCCACCATGCTCATTCCGATTCCCCTACAGAGTGCCTTCCCTCAAGCAGCACGAAACGTGAGAGAATGTACTGGAAGGTTGCTCCTGCGGGACCAGATCCTCAGGGGCGAACAACAGCAGCATGGCAACTGCTTGAGAGGGCCCGGGAGGTTGTTTAGTGCTTGGTGCCGAGGGCGGCAGCTTAGTCAGTCCTTGGGACGTCGAACTTGAGCTGCGTCCGAATGAATCCCAGCAGGCTGATGTGAGGATGTCCTTGGCATAAGAAGCCGCACTAGGAACTGGCAACAGGGACAGAGTGGGTAGTTCTCCCAATTAGGGTCCCTTTCAAGGTCCCCAAAATGGTACGGCACCCTTATCAAAATGAGCCTAATTTAGAGAACTACCCATCTCAACACCCGGTTCCGTACGAAGAGCAGTTTCGAATGGGTCGAACAAGGCTGGGAGCCGCCCATGGGGGTACGTGTAATGCAGCTTTGTGAAACGTCCGAAGGCAAGGATGCCTCAAAGGCAGGGCTAAAAGAATTCTTCCGGGAGCGAGGGATTACTGTTTCTGCTCCTCCTGCTGCAACTGCTACTGCTATTCCTGCTCCTACAAGTCCTCCTCCTCCTATTACTACTACGACCACAACTACTACTATTTCTTCTACTACTACTAATAATAATAAGAATAATACCACTACCTACTACTACTTACTACCTTCTACGAACTACGTGTACCAACTACTACTGTTTAGGGTTTAGGGGGGTCTAGGGTTTAGGGTTTAGATGAATCTGAAAGCGAATCTGGAGCTGCCAGGTAATGCTGAGGAATTTGCCCAACAACTACACGAGAGAGCCCCGGCTGCACGGCAAGCCTACAGTAACGGTTGCTACAAGTGTTCTGTAAAGGTTTTAGGTTTTGGAAGTTTCGGATTTCGGGGTTCGGGGTCCTGTAATAAGAAACTTCGTTCATCACCTCTGCGACGCAAGAATTCCCACTGTTCCTGACAGAGGACATGCTTTTGGAGCTGATTGACAGCATGGGCTTCCGCGGACAATATGCGGCTTGGAAGCGAACGGGAGGCAAGCGAAAGAAATGCTCGGGGGGTTGGCAGAGTGATTTCGACACCTAGCTTGTAGAATTCTGGCGATGTCGGCCATTGACTAAACACAAGCATACTGTGCGGGGTCCTGACTTATTCGGACCCCGAACCAAGCAGCATATCCTGCTGACTCAGGATTTCTTGTACCTCCCCATTGATTTCCAGACCCACGCCTGCCTGGGCTATGCGTTCGTCAATTTGGTGGATCCAGGCTCGCAATGGTTGCCGTGCAAAAGTGCAGCGGATCTTGATGAGTTGGTAGCTGTGCGCACCATCCTCAAGCACTGTATGATCAAGCACATCAGTGCAAGAATAACGGCTCTTGACGTCTGCACAGCACCTGCCCGAGCAGGTGTGGTGCCCTCATTTTGGAGGTCGTTCGATGGCTTCAGCAACTGGAGCCTGCCCAGCAAGAAGGTGCAAAAGCAAGCCCGAAAGCATAGAGCTGCAAACGGGGTCCTGCTGCTCACATGGGTACGTATCTAAACTAGTCTCCCTTCTAGGTCCAGGTTCCTTTTTACAAGGGTGCCGTACCATATTTGGGGACCTAGAAACATGAAACGCCCCCCGGAAGAGTGAACCAGTGGTGCAGGTTTGCTACATCAGCTGGAGCGGTCCTCACCAAGGCACCACCGTGTGAACTGTTCAGTGTAAGGATATTACTGACGCTGCGAGAATGACCGATCATGATCATGATAATGATGGTGAGACGACGATGATGATGGTGAGACGACGATGATGATGATGATGATGGTGATGGTGTTGGTGGTGGTGGTGGTGGTGATGATGACGGTGATGGCGATGGTGATTGTGATCCGATATCCATGACCATGCTGATAACGATGACGAAGGTGAGAATGATGAGAATTATGAAAATAATTATGACGATGATGAGATGATGATGATGATGACGATGATGATGATGATGATGATATCAAGAACTACAGCCATGATCATCTCATTTAAATCATCTCGTCCATCATGGGCCTTCACCATCGCTCTTCCAAACAGCAGCTGTCGGGTTTCCATTCAGAACCGTATTGGCATGAAAAGCAGCCCTGGCTATTCACTTCAGATGCCATCAGCAACATCAATGCCTTCGTCGTAGACATCGTTACGTTTTTGCTGGTGTTCAGAGCATGGTCGGTTCTTGTTACAGCAGTCGGCTTATGAGGAGGTACTTCGAAGGTGCCACCGTGTTGCTACTGTCACCATGCCGGCTGGTAGTCATCTCTATGATGACGGTGGTCTTCGCCGGCAGTATCAACACGAAGCACTTCGTATACCCACATTGTTACTATCCATGTCGAGCACAACAAGTCATAGGTGTGACCACGACTGAGGACACATCCTGTGCCCATGTGCAGTGCCGATCATGCGAGAAGGGCCGCTTCCGGTATAAATTAATCACAGGCAGGAAGGTTTGTCGCTAGTTGAAGCACCACATTATAAACCCTTGAACCCAAAGCCCAAAACCTTAACCCGGTCGGAAGTCGGAAGCTTGACGTTTGATGTGGCAGGGCTCGAAGCGCACATTGAACGCTACCGCAATAGCCCAGCTTCTTGGCAAGATTATGACGTTCGTCTCATTCCCGTCTCACGGATCCGAGTTCTTGCTGGGCTGTTTGCTTAAATTGCTTGTGCAGCGAAGCGTGGGAGAGTGGCAGCTGGGAGTCCGATCATGTGTGGGGTTGCCCCTTTGTTTAGAACAGGACACTCATGCTCCAGCGTAATGTAGGGGTCTAAATGAATACCAATACTACTTTGCGGTTTCCATATGATAACTCGAGTATAATGGGCCCCCAAGCCCTATTCTAATTATTAAGGCCCCTATAATTAGAGTATAATGGGCCCCAAAGCCCTATTCTAACTATTACGGACCCTTTTAGCAGCGTGCGCTGGTGCAGTGTGATTCATGTAAGGTCATGCATGGCGAAGTCCGAGCCTGATTCTGCAGAAGAGTCCTTGCAATAGCCTGGGTGGTTTTAGGGTTTAGGGTTTGGAGCTGTCTCTTCACTCCATTTCCGTAACAGATCTGAGGGTTTCCGAAAATAGCGGACCCAAATATAGTACCCCAAATAGTAGGATCCTTGTTACAAAGGCCCCAAAAGAAGGTACCCCCTGTTTTGGGAAACTCCCAGAATCTGGGAATCGGAAGTGGGTATGTTCTCAGTTCCAAGCCTGCCTGCCCCTCAGAAGCTGTTGTGACGACAAGCAGCAAACTGATGCTTTAGATGAGGGTGCACGGAGGCTTCACGGACCTTCGGACAGGCCATGGCACCTCCATATATTATTATTAGTGTATATATATATATACATATACATCTATACATATATATATATTTTTTTTTACTATATCACAGTATATTGTGTTATATTGCTTACTGTTCCATCCATGTTTCTCCACCCTTGAATTGTCTGAAGACGCCGGCACACGGTACCAAGGCGGCTCAGGTTACATACCACATTTTAAATACTGTGCTACGTGCAAGGCTGTACCTTCAGCTTCAGCTTGGGTATGGCTGGGTTTGATTACATCCACTCCATTGCAGTGCTGTCAGAAGATTGTAGATCCTAGACGGCTAAGGGTGCCAAAGAATGGGCGCAGGAAGTCTCAAATCTACCACGACAGCCTATCGAGGTTTCAGGACCACAAACACTGTAATTATATCTCCATTTCCTGATGAGGTCGGCGACGAATGTAAGCCTCTCATCTTCCGAGACGCTGGGCTGATTGCATGTTGAGGTTGAAAGGACACACAGGCCAGTGAAGGGGCTTGGTATTTTGGGTTCCCTATGGACAGTCTTTCCGCAAGTGATCACGTCGGTTCTCCCTAGATTATCCGCTGCAGTCTTGTTGGATTGCAGTTTGGGGCAGGCTTCAGCTTTGCACATTGCAAATAGAAGGGTGATACCACCGTACCTCCACCGGTTCCACTCAGGAGGGAGTGCGGGTGGAGTTTCCGGTGCCTACAAAGTCCATCCGACCTCCCCGTGCCACTGGGCTGCAGAGACAGGGTTCATGCTGGGAGATCCAGCACACACGCTGAAAGCTTGAGCTGAAGTCTTCCGATGCTTCTTCTGACCTGCTATTGGCTCCATCTCCAGATAGAAACCCTAAGGCCGAACCCCAAAATGTTCGCCACTGCGATTCTCGAAGCTTGCGCGATGTCGCTGTAAACATATGAGAGAGGTCCGCAAGCGCTTGGAGACTGCAGCAAATCCACCGCGTGCCAACGTCAAGAGCCAGGCAGGACTCGTGTGTGATTTTCAATGCAAGCCACGATGCTTCAGGGGAAAAGGGGCCTCCCAGTTCGTGGATTTCTGTTGCATTTTGTCGTTTTGTGTGGGCCATTTCTACGTGCTGGACAATATCTATGTTCATTGACGCTGGCGCTAATTACATAATGTATGAAATAGTAAAATATAGTGTAATATAGTACTTATATTATGCTATACTATATTATATTATATTAT